CTGGCGCGGCGCGATAGGCGATACCGAAATGCAAATTATCTGGACGGCGAGAAACGCGGTTGTGCGAGTGAAACGTGGAAAATCCAAGTCGCGTCCCGTTGACCGGCGCGACCAGGCTCTCGTACGCTGTGAGCCGATCCGGTTTCTCCGCGGCGTTCTCTCGTTATGTGCGACTACGTAAGATATCCTCGATACGATCTAGATCCGCCACTGCGCGGGTTCTCGCACGGCGTCAGCACCGGATCAACATCGATTCCGTGAAAATAGAGGCGAGGCAAGCCGCCGTGTCTATTTTCCGTGCTTTCCTCTCGACAGGCGACCGCTGTCTTGCTCCGCCAGGATCCGAGATCGAGTGAGACCTTTGTCAATCAGGTACGCCGACGATCAGGATCAGGCTCGACTTGCACGCTCTATGTGGACTTAGGTTTCTGTTAATCTTCTCTCATTTTGTTTTTTCCATAACGATGCACGACATTTCTAAGACCCGTATTGATGGTCGTTCCTTGACACTTGTTTCAAGATATGATAGGATAAAACAACCAATTATTGACATCCCTTTAGTTATCAACGTATCAGAGAAAAACCTGGTTTTCCTTGTAATCCAACATATTACAGTTAAACTTCTTACTTATACTCCGTTATTCCAAGAGAGAACTTTATAACGAAAACTGAACACTTGTCACTGGTCGTAAGGGAAACTCTTCTTTTTCTAGAATGTCAATGACTAAGAAGAAGATCAATAATCTGGTATTTTACCCTCTAGAAATATTTATTATTGTTTAGCTATTTTTTTCCTCTTAGTGTACTCATATATGAATTCAGAATTAGATGAAAGTTTCTCAGTGGAATTATAGATACAAATGTCACATGTATTACAATTCAACGGAAAAACTTGGATCTCACTCAGAATAAAAGTTTCATATGAGACAAGTTTCAGGCCAGTTGTTAACAAGGGCCCAATTCGCGAAACTTTTCGCTTAGGTGCTCCTCGAGCTCATGTGATGGCCATTGATGAAGAGACTGTGAGACTCGAGATACACAAGTAACAAATCTCAACGCGATACTCACTTGCGCGACGTCGGCGTGAGAGACGGGAAACGCGGACGATTGCATTAAGTGCTAAATGCGCGCCGAAGCTACGAGTCATAGTCCTTAAACTGCCGTCAGACGTTTCATTCGACTCGTCGTTTATAAAGCGTGATGAGTTATCGATACAACATCAACTCATTAATCACGTACGCCTCGTTACTTAAATAAGCTCCTCTTAGTTCTGTAATTTATTACGCGGTGTATGTAGACAGACAGTCGCAGTCGGAGCGAGAGAGAAGGAGAGACGAGAAGACGAACGGAGTCATCACACACTTATTTATTTCCGACTTGACGAGTATATTCGTTTCTGTTCCTTCGAGAAATATTAATAGATACGCAATACACAGCTGTCATCCCGCCGCTCGGCTCGCCTTCTCTCTTTCTCTCTCTCTCTCGTCTCGTCGAAACAATTCACGGCGTCGGCGTGACGCGAAATCATTTTCGAGCGCGACCACGAGGGGTAGCCCCCCCGCGCCATGAGGGCACGCGCGGGGTCAAGTATCATTACGCGTAACGATTACGCCAGCAAGCACGCTTTTATTGGCGCTTCTAAAACGCGATATATCCTCTCGAGTTAGCGGCTCGACGCGTAAGCGAGGATAAGGATCGGTTAGGGAGAACGATTACGCGCGTCGCCGATCGTCGCAAGAGAAAGAAAGAAAGACAGGCAAGCAAGCAAGTAAGCAAGCAAGCAAGCAAGCAGGCAGGCAGGCAAGCAAGCAAGCAACGCAAGCAGACAGGCGCGGCGTACACACGTTCCTCCCGCGAGCGCGGCGTTCGCTCGATTTAATATCGAATCCGCCGCATTCCGCTGTAATAATACGCCGCGCAATTATCCCGGCCATTACTCGAAACTCGTTGGTTCCTCTTTCGCACGCGAGCCTCACGCAACGTATGTATGTGTATTTGTGTGTGGCACCCGAGGCGGTCGTCCAGAAGGTGCGGGCGACGAGGTGGCACGTTGCAGCGGCTGCGAAAGGATGTGACTGTACGCCGTATCCGCTGAGAGGAAAATCGCGCGGGCCCCGGCGCAGAATATGCCGGAAGTCATCGCGCGGATCCCGGAAGGGCCGACGTTCCACGCGCGCGCGCGCGAACGCGAGAGAGAGAAGAGGTTTAAATTGCTCGAAAGAAACGACGCTAAATATGGCCGGCCAAGGGAATAGAGCGTGTACCGTGTATAGGGACGCGTCGAATGTTCGTCACGCGAGCGTTTTTCAATTCTTCCTTCCTCTCTCTCTTTCTTCTTATTTGAGCAGAACAGCTCGATGCGACGGCACTCCCGCTGGAAATCGCGGGATGAAGAGACGCGCGTGAACGACGTTCCAGAGCGCGACGATTGGTCCTTTTTCGTATAAATGCAAATGACGTGCAGCGGTAACTGAAGGGTTAACGTCGTTTCAAATGGAGATCTTAATATTAAAATAATTGGAGTTAAAGAGTTAAACGCGGAACGTGATTGATACACTGCGGACGTTGTACGAAAAATATTCGGCGCGTGTATTGGCACGTTAGCAGAATAGAAAATCACGATGACATCAAAGTGACGAGAAAGTAATTGAATCGTGAATGAGAAGTGAGTTTTTTTTTAAACCGTTTTCTCGTCATTTTGACATCATTGTTATTTTTATTATATCTGGCTATAATTTTTCATTTTAGCAAAGTTCCGTTATCAGCTGCAAGAAATCCAGATCTCTTTAAGAATGGGCAATGTTTTTTATTCACCCAATTTTCCATTAAACCTTTGAACTCCACGGAGGAAGTGATCCATTTAGATTTCTTATCAATTTCGCGAAACGCCATTGTCAGCGTCTCGTTTGAGTTCCAAATTAATTGAAAAGTTAGCGGTAACTAACATAAATTTATTAAGTTATCCGAAAAATCCGTACTCTCTTAAAGTGAATCAGTGAATAGTCACTGATATCAGTTATGAGTATAGCACTGAGCACTTTCAATGCTATACTTATAATTGCAATCAGTGTATATTCATTGTTTTCAGTTTTGTTTGACTGATTCATTTTAGGAGAGTACAAATTTCTCTATGGATAGCATTCAAATGCAGATTTTAGGAGTTAGTTCAGTGTGATGTGTCAAATGTGTATGAGCTACTATAAGTTCATAGCATAACTAAGAGCTATTATGAGCTCATAATATATTTATGTGTTACTATGAGCTTAGAGTATAACTATGAGCTATTAAAAGTTCATAGCATAACTAAGAGCTATTATAAATTCATAATATAATTGTGAGACTATGAGCTCATGGTATAGCTATGAGCTACGGAACGACCAATCTATCAATTCGGACAAGTACTGTTCGCAACTAAATTAATCAAAGGCAGAAATCGACAAGCAGCGCTTGGAAATTAGTCAATCGGAAAAATGTTATTTTTCATCACGATAACGCCAGATGTCATACTTCTTGGCAGACCCGGCTAAAATTGCTGGAGTTTTGGATGTTTTGCATCATCCATCGTATTCACCCAATGTAATATTCTATCCTCCGATTAGTACTTATTGCAATAGCTGCAGAACTCTCTTAATAGTACCCTGAGAAAAAAATTTACTAAATTTCAAAAAACGTTTGTTTGGATAGTACTGTGAAGATATTTGTTTAAATTAAGTTATTTTCTAAAATTAAATAAAGAAGTTTTAAATATAAATTTGTTTCTTTAATTTTAGAAAATAATTATTTAATTTAAACAAATATCTTCACAGTACTATCCAAACAAATGTTTTTTGAAATTTAGTAAATTTTTTTCTCAGTGTATGAGCTATATTTTTTTGAAACGCTTAAAAAATAACTTGGACTAACCGAAAAAAATTACGGCTTCTATAAGAGAAGAATTATGAAAGTACTCGAAAGATAAAAATATGAAATGTTGTAGGACGTGCACTCGAAATACTGCATATATTACAGATTAAATTTATTTTTAACTAAAAAAATTTGTCATTTGAATTTTGCTTGAAAATAGACTTTCCGAACAACCCAAGAGATTTGTAAGCATTGAAAGCCCGCAGGGTTATGAGAAATTTTAGATAGCGGAGTCTTAGGAGAAAGCTAAGAAATGGTTAACAGAAGATGAAATAAAATGAAATCAAATAGAGAAGTAAAACCTGGACTTAAATACCAGGTATTAATTGACGCAGATGGGTCTCGTTCCGAGATCGAGACGGGAACCTCGTCGACGTGAACTTCGTCCGAAGCTTCTTTTCGTGAAATCATCCCTCCCTCTCAATCTTCCCGCCCAAAAGATCGAAATCGCGAGCGATAAGAAGCGCGATTGTAGGACCAATAAATCATCGCGGTCGACACCGGGCGCGTCCAGCCGTCGGTGTTTTGGTTTGGTCGCCGCGGGGGTGACGGCACCCTGCGGTGGCGCCCTTTTACCCTCGAGCCGAGCGTCGAGAGGCCGGCACGATCGGATAAAGGGTAGAGGCGTCTCGCGTCCCGCCGTGCTTCCTAGGTGCCCGTCATTCATCGTGCTCTTTCAACAAGCGCCCTGGCGGCTCTTGCTAACGATTACTCGCGCGTATAAAAGCGCGAAAAACCGCACAACAGGTGCGTTCTGTCTTCACTGTCGTCTACTCGCGGCAATTTATCGAGTCGGCGCGTTTTTTCCGTGGAAAATGGTCACTACGTCGGATAACGTTACTCTCATTTTCTCTGACATTCGCTCGACAATCGCTCTCAGCATTTTCGCGAGAGTAGGAAGAAAGAAAAGAATAAAGGGCTACATATGCAGGTAATCGCACGCCGATTTAGGGAAGAAGAAAAAAGAAAGTGTCCTGTATTTACGCACGCGAGCCGGTATCGACGATAAGTGCCGTTACGCCGGAGAGCCCGTTTGAGAATTCATAAAGCAAGAAACGTCATCGCGATTGTTTAACGGTCGGTCTGTAATTTTTCAGCACGACGAGGAGGAGCACGACGACGCCGCCGGTCTACGTTGGAGTAATCGCGCGTCGACGGGGATATTATTCACCGGTTCGCCCTGTTCTCGTGCGATACCGTACGATTGAACGATTGTACCTAGGGCGATCGGCCAGGAATAATGTGGGCGGTCGCTATCGCGATATCGATATCACTCGATATATGCCGAGAGCAAGGAACGTGCGCGCGTGTGCCCGTCGACGACTCTGAAAATTTGCAGGCGACTCTCCCTTTGTGCCGTGAGCGTCCCGGAGAAAGGGGAGAAAGAGGTGCGTTCGTTGTTGCAATTTTTACTACAATATTTTCCGTCTGGAATTGCAGAGGCTCTTACAGAGTGAAAGTACAAATGTCGATGTATTTGATGGGCACATGTCAATGCACTGAAGGAAAGTTTTTGTATAAATAAAGAACTTTGTTTTCGATATAACAGGGATGCCCTTCAATTCGTACTTTCACGCCGTAAAAGTATTTGCAGTTGGTCATAGTTATGCAAGAATATGATTAAATCTACGAAATTGATTTTTGAGTTACCAATTGGCAGTTCATACGTCTTTTTACATAATACAAAAAAGATCCAAGCTTTATAAGTGCCCAAAATGAAATAAGAAACATTTTTTTATTTTCTATTAGTCGCGCTATTTTTTATTCTAGTTGCGTCTTACCTAGTATTAAGAGTTAAGCTTGTCAATAAATATTCCTGAAGAGAAGAAAATTGACCGTGCTTGACTTCCTGAAGGATTGCGAAGAACCTCAGTGCAGTCTATACTTTCCAACTCATGTATGAAATTTTCATTTTTCTCGAGACGCACTTGACGTGGGTTGGCTTATTCTTGCATAATCATGACCAATTCTCCGCGAGCAAATAGGAAAACAGTGCAAGCTACGGAAACATGTCGGTATCTAACATTCCCTTAAACGGAGAATCGCGGCGAGAGTCGTTAATAATCGTCCTCCACTTTACCTCTCGAATTGGCCGGTCGCGCACGTTAAAGCCTCGAGGTGTCGAGCGAGCGAGCGAACGAACGAACGAACGAACGAACGAACGAACGAACGCGAGCGAGCGTACGCGGAGATCGAGTATTGTTCGTCCTTTCTCATCGCGTTGGGTCCGCTGAATGACGACGCTCGCCCCGTTGCGATGATACGTCACGATAATGGCCGGTAATTCGACGTAGCATCGGGGCTCGTGCGCGCCTAGGAGGAATATTGTTTCGCCGCGCGCGATGGGAGTAGAGAGAAGTCTTGGCTTTTCAATTATCGGACCTTGGAGCGATACGATGATGGCCGGCGGAAGGCACGTATAAACCCCGGTGCGAGCCGCTGCACGCGGCCGGTAAACCCACACGCACGGGCGTATCTACGCCAAATTGCAGGTTCGACCGTAGCCAGTGCGCTCTCGCGCGCGCACATCGTTCGTGTACGTACACGATGTGTGGCAGGGAGAGAACGTACGGTACGTACACGTACGTGCCGGGTACACAACGCATCGTACGCGGATTCTCTCTCTTTCTCTCCGTTTCTCTCTCACCTGAGTGCTCTCTCCGATATGTATCTCGCGCGCACGGAGCGACTCTCCTCCCCGTCTGGCAGCGACCTGCAGCGTCCAGCAGGAGGCTTCTCGATATCCCCGACAACTGGATTAGCATCCGCGAAGTTTCGTCGAAACGATTTCGCTCGCGACGCTGATGCTATTATGTATTTTTGCGCTTCGCGGCAATTTACTTTCCAAAGATGGAGCGCTGTTGTTCTCCGATTAAAGCTCCTCGCTGGCTCCTCGATCGCGAGCGCATGAGCTCGCGATGGCGATTATTACTCACTTAAGAACGTTGGTTTATATTTAATAATTTCGTTTTCCTTTTTTCCCCAAGGGCGATCGTTATTCTTGGTAAAAATCCGTCCGTGCGGGTCTCTTGCAAAGACGCGCGCGGGTTTCTCACATGAAGGTATATCTTTCTGTTCCAGGCGAAGAGCTAGTCCCAGACCCTTCACAAGAGTCCTTCGCCGGCGCCTGCTCGTGACTTCACATGAGTACAAAATATCGTTTATACGGCGCAAGTGGATTTCTTGTCCCTCGCAGTTTATCAGCAACGACGACTGGCGGCTCTATTTTCTCCGAGAGCGAGATGGAGAGAAAACGCGCTGTCATCTTTACGAGTATTTCGCCAGACAATGATACGCAGACGTGTTGGTGCGTTGATGTGCGGAAGAGACGCGGTAGCGAGTTGCGCTAAGTGTGTCTCTAGTGACACATCAATAAAATATTGCATCAGGGAGTGCTCGCGAGAAAGGGAGGTGGCAAGAAGAGAGAAAGAGACACCACATGTCGAGCGTTGTTCAAATAAGTAAATGTCGGGCTAATAACGGTCGTGCCCGGCGACGGTCAGGAAGCCCACCTGACGGGATAATGATATAAATACAAACACAAGCCGTACATTCCTGCGGATTCACGCGATTCTTAATCCCGACGACCGCCCAAACCAATCCCTCTCGGAATCCTTCATGATAATTCATTGGATTAAGTTTGTGATTACTCTAAGCAAGCACGTAAGAATATTCTTTCCTATTTCTCTATTATTATAAATGTACTTTATATAACGGTGTGCGAATTTGAACATATATGTGAAGTACAAGATGTAATAGAGCCTAGACAGGAGAGAGTTTAACGAGATATGCGCGATTCCACGCGAGCAATTGCAAAGCGATTTCGTGTAATTAGCAAAGAATTTAAATTGACGATCACGCGAGTTGCGTTTACTAAGTCTTTCGCTTTAGATGTTAAACGTTTAACATTTGAAGCAACAAGGAAAAAGAAGAAACATATCAGAGTAAAACATCTAATTATTGACATCCCCTTTAGTCATTAACACTCTCGAGAAACCTGGTTATTCTCGAGACCAAAACGCTTCTGTTCACAGTTTTAGTCGTGAAAATCTCTTTTGAAATCATAGAATGCATGTGAGAAATTTAACTTCAACGCTCTTCGCAAGAAAAGTCGGGTTTTTTCTAAAGTATCAATGTGACACTAAGAGAAAAAGACATAGTAACGACGACTATGGTGAAAACTATACGAATTCTTTATGTAAAATTGTAATGTATATAATTTAATAAACTATTTCGTAGTTGATTGCACACAACTGAAGCATCAATAGCAACAATTACGAAATAATTTACTAAACTATATACAATTCTACATATAAAACTCGTATAGTTGTCATCATCATATTTTTCTCTGAGTGTACACGGAGATAATTTTATAGTGTTTTTCGTATAAATTCTTGTTGATTCGTAATATTTTTCTTGTAGCATAGGATTGTCGCAGTAGAATTTGTTTTGCAAAGAAGTATAGTAAATTTCATAATAAATCTTGCTAGAAACTAGCAAATATTTAATAGCACTTTCAGTTCTTAAAATGTAAATGTAAATGGTTCTTAAAATATAAAAGGAAAGGAAAGGAAAGTCAATTATTGCAGAATGCCGATCCATTCCCCGATTACAAAATTCTATAGCAATCTTTACTACAACATTCTCTCCGTGTAAAGAAAATGTCGATAATTAGATATTTTATTTTAGTGTCTCACGATTGAAGACGCGTGAGAAAATGGAGAATTTAATCGGAAATCGAGTAAATTGCTGAAATTAATCTCAGAGAATTTATAAAAGAAGTGAATCTCTGTCTCCACTATATATAGGGTGTCTCACACTCTCCTCTGGGCATTTTGTGAGAACGTAGGACAGGTTGAGGTGAACATAAAAGTCCTATACCGTTTTGCGATATTCGTAATAATTATCGAGATATTGTAGAAAACTTGTAAATGATCATGCAGAATATGGTAAATGAGTTATAGTAACGACGACTGCCGTCGTGTACTTATACTTTAGGTCAAATTGAACAAAAAAGTCCTCTACCATTTTGCAAATAATCACATACATTTTTAACTATTAATTAAAAAAGATTATTGCACGATTTTGCGTGATAATGCACTCATCTTCTTTAATTAATAATTAAAAATCTATGTGATTATTTACAAAATGGTAGAGGACTTTTTTGTTCAATTTGACCTAAAGTATAAGTACATGACGGCAGTCGTCGCTATTATAACTCATTTATCATATCCTGCATGATCATTCATAAATTTTCTACAAATAATAACTCGATAATTATTGCGAATATCGCAAAACGGTATAGGACTTTTATGTTTCACATCAACCCATTCTACATCCCCACAAAATGCCCGGAAGAAAATGTGAGACACTCTGTATACATATATTTTTTTTAATTAAGAATCTCGAGAGAAACCGTCGAGAAATATGAAAGGAGCGTTTGGATTACTCCAATTGTAGCACGTGTGCATGCACGTTCCCCATCGATATTCATACAATTTCGCCGTTCCTTCTCCAAGGGATCTCCGCGAAACGAGAAACGCGGACGTGTAGTCCCGATCGATAACGTAACCATCGATCGAAGATTAACTTCCGTGGCGGTTTTTTCGGGCGATTCACTTCGCAGACACGGCGCGCGCGCGGGCTGTTAATCGAAGCTCGGGAAAGCGAAGATGAAGGGTAATGGCGAGTATCGTGTTCCGCGACCGGTTTCGAGAAAGGCTCACTTCTCTCGGGCTTCTAATACGTTGAAACGCATAAATCATCCGTCCACGGACGGACTTTGAAAAAGCAATAAATATATCGGCCGTGTAATATCTCTCCCAGCCTGCAATCTTGCGCACAATTTATGTCTCTGAAATATACAAGCGACGTGCCAATCCGACTCGCGAAACCTCATTTATCGTATATTTCGTCCGATCTTTAGAATCGATTATGCTTTCGGATAATGTCCTCTTTTTCTATTCTTTTTTTTCTTTTTTTGAACTCGCTTCTCGGAAAAAGAAGAAAGAAAACAAAATTGTCTTTGCAATTTTGAAATTATGTATTGCGAATTGAATGGCGATTTCGAGAAGCATTTCTTCTCATGTCTTCTTCAGAATCCTTTCCCTGCTTTCGAGTCACAGCCGTGTCCACGGGGGCTGTGACACGCGATGTCTACTACGTGGAAAAGAAGTGGAAAAAAGAAAAGAAAAACTACCGCCCTATTTGTCGCGTCGTTGTCATCGTTTGCTCCTCTCCCTCTCAACGAGGCTATTTTTCCCGACGCGTGTGTCGAAACTATGATTAATTCGCCGATACACACACAGAGTCGTTTTCTCCATGCTACGTCCGCACACGCAGAAAGTTTTCCACGCAAACACGCGGCGCGACACACGTATACGCAAATTACGGCCGGCTGTTTTCGCGTCGTTCGCCTCTTCCGGGAGAAAAGACGATCGCGCGCGCTCGTGACGGTGACGGCCGTGTCGGCGCTTAAACGATACCGAAATCAATCGATCATACGTAATAACGGTTTCCTAAGGACGACTTTTCACAGACTGCCAGCCGTCGGCCATGATGTCTCGGCCCGGCACATCTGCCAGGTTCGAACCCCGCGCGAACGGCGACGCAACGCGCAGTATGAGCTGTGTACGAGCGAGCTTTCGAAAGGGTGTTTACACGTCGCGAGTTATACGACGTGCTCGACGAAAATAATTCATTAGGGTACGGGCACCGTCACGTTTTGGGCGTGACGGAGGGGTGACTCTTGGAGAAGAGCGGCGAGTCGCGAGCGACTTTCCGCGGGACGGAATGCCGCTCGATATCGGAGCTAAAATAAATCGACAGAAAGCGCATGCCAGGAAATTGTGAGGAAATTTAAGTAGAGGGTGAGATTTCTCATCGGAAAAAGATAGAGAGATTACGCATCTTTAGATTTTTCCTCCTTGAATAATTGATCTAATCTCATGCTATAAAATCATGTGCCTTCAGAGCGCCTTCAGGGCGAATTTTAATACGTGACTTCAATTACTATTGAGAGGAAATAAGCGGTTATATTTAAGAGGTTATCAGTCAGTATTAAGAGGAAATATCTAATAAAATAGTTACGATTTCAAAAATTTAACACAATTTTAATATCGACCCTCTACATTTTTCCTGCAATGGGATCTCATTCAAAACGAGTAAAAAGTGGAAAAAGGCGGAAAAATACTGCCAGTCGAAATCGCACACAAGAATGAATATTTCACTCGAACTTGACAGTAATTTTTTACTTGATATGAATGGATATTTCTATGAATTAGAGATGAATAGGTTTCTATGAAAGTAGAATATATCAAATTTACTTTTCAGTTTCAAGTAACAATATTTACTCGACGATTCAGAGTGGAGACAATTCACTTTATATGAGTAAAAAACCACTTTAATTCTAATCGGAATAATTCTATAGTATTTTGTTTGTCGAATAAAATTTCACTTAGAGAAATTTAGAGAGCAGGAAGAGAAGGAGCGAGAAATTTTCAAGTAAAAGAATTAGTGCTGATTCAGAGTTAAACTCAAGGATATAAGATTCAATAAGGACCAATGTACGTATATTTTGGTGCAATGAATTGAGTCTACTCGTCCACTCTAATATTAGAATTTAATCATTTAATATTTAATTTACAATATTTAATCATTTAATCATTTCAAATCATTTAATATGATTCAAGTAAAATTATATTAATTCCACTAGATTATATCTAATAATATCCTAAGAGTAATGGATAATTAGAGTCGATTTGATTGCATATCGCACTATAACATTCGTGCATTAGCTCTTATTGAGCTCGTACATCATTGAGTTTGATTAAGAAATAAAAGATACATTCTCTTGATTTAGGAAGGCAATACAGTCAGCGGAGAAAAATCATCTCCATTAAACGCGTCTTTAATCGCATGTATATGATCTGTTAGATTAATACAATAACGAGTACGTTAGCGTGAATTATGATAGAATTATGGTCATCGTCATCGTCGTCGTCGCAACGGTAGCAACAGCAGTTCCAAAGCAAAGACGAAGCTACGAAGGCATAACGACGACAACGACGACGGTGAGTATAGCGCCGTTCTTTTTGGTAGATTCACTCACTTGCCGTGCGAAACAGAGAGAGAGAGAGAGAAAGAGAGAGATCTCTATCCTTCGGAGCGTGAAGAGAATTCGTGGGCTCGCGGTCCCTCAAGGATGTATAGAAGGGCCTTCGTGGTCAACGAGAAGAGCCGGTGCGCCGGATCGCGTGTTTCGCAAGAGCAGACGTTGCGGTCGTTTAAGGAAATATCGTTCCTCTTGAAATGCCTTTCCTCTCTCCCTCTCTCCTTCCTTCCCTCCCTCGCTCGTCCGCTCTCAAATAGTACAAATTAGGACGACATCTCCTTCTCGTGCTCTGTGCATCCGGTGCTTCAGGTAAATCCTCTTATGTCACGTAAAAAGCCCCCCAGCTCTTCCCTCTCTGCCGCCCTGACGGGGGTTGCATTTTTCTGCGCGAACACACACGCATGCAGACTACCGATCGCCGCGGCCGTTCGCAGTCTATTGTTGCCTCGAAAATGTCAACGGGACGTCGCTTAAAAGGACACCTTTGGCCTCTCGACGGCGAATCGGATTATCGGATTACCGACGTGGAAGCGAGAAAGCGAGAAAGAGAGAAGAGTGTCGAGGGGCTACTCGAGATCCGCGCGTCGCGACAACGTGCAAAATATTGACAGGTGTCAACCGTGTTCGTTATTGGCATAAAGAGTCGCATAGAGAGAAAGAGAGAGAGAGAGCGCTGCTCGACAACATGCATTTCGTCGTGAACACGAGCTGCTCTTCCAATTCTAAAATCCGTTTCATAATTGTTACTTGAAGCTTGTTTCAAATATGAGATACTCAAATTGGAATTTAGAAGCGAGTTTTTCAGTTTACTTGCAATTATATATAAATGTCGTGTATGTTCTGATATAACTGAGAATTTCAGATCTAATTCTGTATTCAAATATGAATATATCATGTGAGACCAGCTTCAAGCAACGACTATTGATATGAACCTTCTCTCTTTCTTTCGTTTTCGGATTGAACTCGTCCTCTGAAAATGTCGGTACACGAGTATACGTTGTACACAAGTGACACGAGTCGTTCCGCGGTTAATCGGATATAAGAAGACCGAATTTACGTGAGTCGTGTGATCGTTTCAAGCTCCCCGCAGGTAACAATTAATAAAAATCTACCAAGTTTTAATGACATATTTACGATACATGTCTCGACGATCGCACGGTGCTATTCTCGGCAGTTTGAAACTTGTTTACGTATAAGACTCGTCTTTGATAAGTAAAAAGCACATAAAACACGAAGGATGATGTGTCGATCAACGTGTCCATGGCGGCAACTCGACAGGAAAAAGATCGATATCCAACATGGCCGCGCAATCGATGACGTGTTAAAAAATGCGCGCGGAGATTGTTGCAATCTGACAAGGACGCGCTCTAAGAAATATACTCCTTTCTCTCTCTCTCTCTTACTAGCAAACCGAAATTACGCCCCAGATCGGGCGTTGCAACATATTTCGTGTCATTCTTTC